CCCCAGTAGATAGTTGTATGTTATAGTTGCACATCCTTCTAGTTGCTGTATGTGGGAGGCGGCCTCAGCAAGGCCGGAGAAGCGGTACGTCGGTGGGCGCCCGGGATCCGAACCCAGGCCGCCAGCAGCGGAGCGCACGCACTTAACTGCTAAGCCACGGGGCCGGCCCCGGAAGTTGGTGGGGTTTAAATAATAAATTAAAATTAGTGAAAAGCCCCCTCAGCCTCTAATCTCCCTTAGAGAAGGGATTATCTTAAGAGCAGAAACATGTGACCATCTCTCCTGCCAGAGCAGGCATCAACTGCCACTTCTACCAAGGTCCCCAATCTGTCCCCAGCTCTTTTTCTTTTTCTTGAAGAGAGGGAGACAATGGCCCAGCAAACAGGGACTAGGAGGGAGCCAAAGAAACAATGGGGATCAACTAGGATGCAGTCAAAGCAAACAGCTGTGGTCAAGGCAAGTCAAAGGCTGGGGAGGCAAGAGGACCACAGAGGGAGAAGGAGACAGGAGGGCAGGCACAGCTGACTGTAGGAAGCCCCATGCCCAGCCATGGGCAGTGGGGGTCAGCGGGTGCCACCCTCACAGCCTTGTGGCCCACCTGTCTCATCCACAGGCCTGAGCCCCCTCCATTAAGGTTCCAGGACCCGCCTCAGGGGTTCTCTCCTTCCGCTGAGGGCCCTGCCCGTCCCCTGCTGAGCAGGCTGCTGCAGACCACACCCGAGGACAGGCCTGCACTGCCTCAGTGGCTTCCACTACCTGTAACTCTGTACCCACTCCTGGGGGCACCCAGAGCAGAGCATCCACCCACACAGGGCACAGGGGGCCAGCTGGTGGCCCCACTAGAGGCCACTCTGTCAGTGGGGTGAGGACAAGTACCTGCCCATCCAAGGCTCAAGATGCAGGGGTCCCACAGGCAGGCCGGGGCAGGAGAGGGGCTGGGTCATCCCACCATTAAGGCCTTGGCGGGAACCACACTGACCACAAAGAAAGGGTCACTGGAGGCAGACTGGGCAGGCCACAGAGAATTGCCGGGGCAGGGGGCTGACCACCTCTCGCCAGGCTGGTTGTGCAGGAGCCAGGAATGGGTCTTAGCCACTGCATCAGCCAGCCGTAGCAGGATAAAGATAACAACCTCAACAACAGTGGCCGCTATGATTTATCAGCCTTACTAAGAGCTTTCTGCAACCCTCGCCAAGTTCTCACAAAACCCCAAGAGCTCGTACTGTTAACATCCCCATAACATAGACAAGGAAACAGGTTCAGAGAGGTCAGTAACTCGCTCAAGGTAGAGATGAGCCATCACCATGCATTCTAGAGCCCTTGCCCTCGACCCACCAACATGCTTCCCACCCCAAAGCAGTCTTTCTGGGAACCCCACTCAGGCCCCAAAAAGGCTTCCAAGACAGCAGCTCAGAAGCCAGGCTCTCTGCATAGGGACACCACCATGGGTCTGTGGGGGCTCCCCGGTGCTCCCGGGACCACATCCTCTGGAGGGCGGCCAGGGCAAGCTGGGGCAATGAGGTGGAGAGAGAGGGGCCAAGCAGGCCTGCACCGCCTGGGTCTACCCTGAGGAAGCCTGCAGTCTGCAAAGGGAGCCTGCCAGCAACCAAATAACCCACAATACACGCACAGTCACACATGGGGGTCCCAGAGGGCTTCCCAGGGCCATGCCCTCTACCTGAGCACTTGAGGGTGAGCAGGAGTGACTGGAGATCACTTCCTGCATAGGGAGGGCCAGGCGGAGCCACGGCCCGGTGGGACAAGGGTATGTGGCGGGAGGAGTGTGCCAGGCACTTTGGGGACTGAACTAAGGACTTTGGACTTGGACATGGCCTCTTCCCACTGTCCTCTTTTGAGTCTGTTCTACCAGGCCTCAGCTGCCCAGAGCCTGGCTGCCCAGGCCGGCGGCGAGCCCAGGGCAGAGGCATCCAGCTCCCTGGCCAGCTCTCCTAGCACAACACTGGCTGGCACAGAGTCAGGCACAAAGCGGGCCCCGGGATGCTGGTGGAGGTTCACTCAGGCGCCACGCCTGGGCCACTGATCTCCATTGCCCACTGCTGGGGCTGTGCAGGGCTAGACTCACCCTGCTGCAGAGCCCTGGGAAAGCTGCCTGGCCTCTCTGCACTCCCACTGCCTCATCTCCCAGGGGTGCCGAAGGGGTTACACAAACTCATGCTTGGAAAGCCACAAGCAGAGGGTCGGTCCCTCAGCGAGGTTGGCCTCTGTGGACGGCTCTACAGGCCACAGCCCCCACAATTAGAGAGGCCACGCAGGGCGACGCTCACTTTCAGGCTTTGGATCCTGCCCAACTTGGTTCCCACCCTGGCTCCATCTCTCAGTGGCTATGCAACCCTGGCAAGACACAGGTCCTCCCTGAGGCTGTGACGTCACACACGTCAGCACCTTCACTCCTTGAAAGGACCCGTCCCTCACTCAATAAAGGAGCAGAGGAGGGGCTGGAATGGCTGTGCCCATTTCACAGACAGGAAACAAGAGGCAGGAACAGACAGCAAGGAACTTCTGGCCTGATAGTGCCAGGGGACAGCCAGCATTTGTCACTCCTAAACACGGATCATGCCAATGCCCACCAGGGGTCTGAAGTGGGTGGCCCAGCCGTTTTCCTTTCGAATGCTTCCTGACTGCCCAGAGAGAAGAGACAGGCCTGGGGCGCCAGATGGTCATGCCCAAGAGGAAGGCAGATGTCAGAGAACAGCCAGGAAGTGCGTCTCCAGGTGCTGCGTGAGCACTGCCCTCAGCTCAGGGTAGAGGAAGGAGCACTGAGCAGGGAGTCAGGAGGAGCCTGTGTGCCCTCCCCTCTCTGGGCCCAAGACCTCCTGTGAGACCAGCTGATCCCTGGAGGGTACCCCTGTTCTAACACTCAGGAAGTCACTCCTGGCTCAACCGGGCCCATCCCAACCTCTTCTGTCCCTGCCATCACCTCCCATTCCATTCTGAAGCATCCTGTAATTTCTGTGGGCCAAAGTGCCTGCGTCAGCCCCATCCAGGAAAAGATTGCCCAAATGAACGGGTGTGCTTAAAACCCAATGTGTCCTGAGCACCATATGGGCAATCACCATTCTCGGTTCCAAGAGCAGGGCGTGGCGTGGAAGCCTCCAAGGGGCCTCACCACTCACCAGCACATGAAAGCAATTTTTCAAACATTTCACGGCTGCTCCAAAAATGAACTTCTCCTCCCAGCCCCATCAGCTCACACGCTGCCCAAGGTCGCAGGAGAGAGCCAGGATGATCTGACAGCCAGCCACGTAGGGGGCAGATGGTGAGACAGCCCCACCCCCACCCCCTGCAGAATCCCTGAGGGCTGTGGCTGCAGGTGGGAAGGTGGGCAGTGACTCGGAGTTGGCAATGGTGTGGACAGACCGAGCAGACATTGGCTGCAAGTCTCCACAGCAGTGCCTGTCTGTCCAAGTCACAGCCAGACCCTGGCCCTCCCGCCATCCCTCGCTTGTTACAGATGGGGCCACTGAGGCACACAGCCCAGGAAGGCTACCAAAGTCCTACAAGGCAAGGGGTCTGGTTGCCACCCCAGACTCCATGTCCAGATCTCTGCTGTGACTGGGGACAACCAAACCAATCAATGGCTGACCTCCCAAACTGAGGCCCGTCCAGGCTCTGATGTGGCCTCAGTCACATTCCCTGTTCACCACTGCCCTGGAGACCCAGGACCTCAAGCAGACTCAGGTGGTCCACCTTGTCCCTCCGGCCAGTGCCCACAGGGTCAGGGCAGGTCCTCGGACCAAAAGAGATCCAGAGTTTTGCAATAAAGCAGAGCAGGAGAGAAGAAGGGGTTGGCAGGCATTTTCTGCCTTCTTTCTTTCTTTCTAAAGATGAGGCAATTATGCTCTGAACCAGAACAGATGGGGGGGTCACATCGGCACGGTCTGGAAGCCCTAATTTCTTCATCTGTAACTCTGCATTACCGCTTCTGGAGGCAGGCAGGAGCCGGGATCTTTAATTCCATAATAACAATGCTTCGCACTTACACAGCATCTCTCCTCCAGTAATCTCCACACACTCTATGGTGGTTAATTAAGAAGCCACTGGCCCTGCCAGGAAGCCCCAACTGTCTGCTTCAACATAAGGATCAGGTTCCCTAGGTGAGGAGTAGTTCCAGAAACAAGGCCAGGTAGAGGGGCGCCCTGGCCCACCGCCCCCTGCTGTCAGAGGGAAAAGCCCCTAACTCAGCAGTGAAACAATGGCTAGCGGCCACAGCTTTCCAGCCTGCAGAGGGCGCCCCTTCCAGGCAGGATGCAGCGTTTCAGCCCCCACCTCAGTCTGTCCATCTGTAAAGCGGGCTGGGGCCTGGACCTGAGGCCTCCTGACAGGGGTAGCCAGGATCACTTGTTCCCCTCAGGAGGTGGGACCCAGATGCCTCCAGATGCTGGCCTAAGTGTGGAGCCAGGCCTGGGGGCTGCCCAAACCTGCCTGCTGGGCCAGGCAGAAGGGGTGTTAGGTGAGAAGAGAAGCCCCCTGGCTAAGAAGCAGGGAGGGGCCAGGCCCGGCGCCCTGGGGTTCAGCGGCAGAGGAAAACTTCCCGAGAAAGTGAGTGCATCAGCCGTCCTGGGTGGGGGGGTCTTGGGGAGCAGCATAGACCTCTCCCCACTAGGCCTGGCCATCCTGGTGGGGGAGGAGGTCCTGAGGGACTACACGGACTCCTGCCTGGCCCAGCTATCCCAGGGGTTCCCCGGGGGCCAACAAAGAACCTGCCAACCCAGCCTTCCCGGGGGGCTCCCTGAGAGAACAGCACGGAGCCCAGCCCGACCCGACTCTCTAGAGAGAGGATGAAAAGAAAGGCAGGGGCAGAGAGGCCGGCTTGGGGGAGACGCCCCCACCTGCCCGCATCCCCGGCCCGAGAAGGCCCAGGTGGGGCGCCCCCCAGCCCGGGAGCCCCAGCGGCATTAGGCCTTCAGTGCGCGGCGCGAGGTCGCAGGCCCGGCCGGGGGCAGCAGACCCCCGGGTGCCAGCCGGCGGTCGGTACTCACCGGCACAGACATCTTGGCCGCCGCTCCCGGGGCCCGGGCGGGCAGCGACGCCGGCAGGCTGGGGGCTCCGGTCCGCCGCGCAGCTCAGAGCCCCCGCGCGGGGTCCGGGGCTGTCCGGGTCCCCGCGGGCTCCCGCTGGCTCCCGGCGGCCGGACGGTCCGGCCGCTCCAGCAGCTCCAGCCCCCGCCGCGCATGCGCCGCCCCACGCCGCCCCTCCCCCTCCCGTCTCCTCCACCGGGGGCCGCGTTAAAGGCGAGGACCCTGGACCCCGGCAGTTTTCTGTCGGCCCAACGTGGCGAGGAGGCTGGGTCTACGCCCCTTACGCATCCTTCAAGGGCCACCTTGAGTCGCACCATCTCCTGTTCGCCCAACCGGTTCTGGAGACCAGAACCCCTACCCCCCGCTTTGCCCAGCCCAGGGTGCTGGGAGCCTGCCCTGTGGTCCTGGCCGGGCTCCCAGTCCCTGTGTCTGAAGGCGAATGCAGGTCAGCCGAACACGGCTCCTAGGAACCCTTCCCACTCCCTGGCTGAAAGCCCAGAGACCCCCGGTACTCCCAACGCAGCCCTGCCCAGAGTTCCTCTGCCTGCTCTGCGCTCCCCCCACTGCCCCTCCCCCAGGGATAGGGAGCTCCCGACTCCCTGGGAACAGCCTGACTCATTGTCGGGTCACCCTGACAGTTAGAGATGGACTGGCTTTTAGGGAGGATCCTGTCTCCTGGTAACCCCCACTCATCGGCCCACCCACAACCAAGCCGTCGCTGTGCCAGGGGCCAGCCCTCAGACACTGGAAGACAGGCATTAGCCGCCAGAGCTTTCCTTTCCCAAGGTTAAATATCCCCAATTTCTTCAGCTGTTCCACATCTGACATGGTGTCCAGGCACCTTACCCACAGGCAGGGGCCACATACATGTGCGTCCTAATTTCCCCACCCCCCTGCTAGGTAGGCTTTGCTGTTCACATGTTACATTTAACAGACTAGCTCTGATATCCCTCAGCTACCAGAAGGCAGAACGCTGACCACTCTGTTCTGCTGCCCACCACATACAGGCTGTCCCTGCTCCCTGGGGGCCCTTCCTGGGCAAAGCCAGACAGGGGAAATGGCTGCTACTGCCCAGAGAGAATGAGTGAGCACCTAGACCAGGGTTCCAGGGGCCAGGGCAGTGGACACTGCTGCCCACCCAGAGGAAGAAAGACAGAGCCGGTTCCATGAGGCTGGCTGGCAGCAGCTGTGGCTAATGGTAGGGACCTGGGGGACAGACAGACAGCTCCAGCCCCTAGGAAGTCTGTAGGGGCAGGTGCCCAGGGTGCAGGCTCTTTCACCTGCCAAGTGTGCAGTGCCAGGTGGCCTAAGGTGACTGAGCAGAAGGAGGAAGCAGTGACAGGTGACAAGTGGGCTTCCCCAGAGACCCAGGTCTGGCCCCCAGCTCCCTAGCTCTCAAAATCTCCCATTTGCAGATCATCTTTTGGGGTTTTGGAGGCTTTCCAGTCTTCCTCCCCAAGAGGTAGGGTCCCTTGGTCTTTCTCCTGGCGGGTCCTGGGGAGAGTCCTAACAGCGGCCACCAGCAGTGAGAGGGGTACTAGATGTGCAAGAAAGGGGGAAATTGAGAGCTGCCATGAGGCCCAGGTCCTGGTTCTAGGACTGATGAGCTGGGGTCCCTCCCTGCTCCAACTGAGCAGCATTGCCCCCCTTTACCCCTTGAGTGGGGGTTCCCAATTGTGTACCTCACTTTCCCCAGCCCAGTGCTCGGCAAGGCATTGTTGGAGGGGGCAGGCAGGGCCACAGCAAGCAGAGGGGGGTCTGGGCCGACAGCTGCCACCTCCTCAAAGGGCGCTCTGTATGTGTCTGGCAGGCAGCCCTGCCCGTGCCCACCCGCCCGCATCCAGCTGGCACAGGGGCTCCTGAGCTGTGAGCAGCAGCTCAGCCTGGCACCCGGGCTCCCAGCCACACGCGGCCGCTGCCCCAGAGGCCCCCACTGCCATGCTGGCCCCCTCCCTCACTAAGCCTGCCTCCTGGCACTCAGGCTCCTCCTCCCTCCTCTCCTACTTTGGCTGGATTCTTTTCGTCCACTGTTTCTGTCTTCTCTCCCATCGGCCCCATCTCTAGATGCTCCTGCCAGAACTGGTTGAACAGCGGGGAAAGACCCCTTCCACACTGCTGGGCACAGGGAAATGGAAACCCAGGGTAGGGGTGCAGCTGGGGCCATGACCTCCAAACCACCTAGTCCTTGCCTCCAACTGACCCCCAACAACTGCTTACGGCTGCTCACTCAGGGAGGGCATCACTAACTCATCCTTTAGTGCAGAAAGAAGGTTCCCTGGCCAGACCCTCACTTACTCTGATGCAGGGACCCAGGGCCTTGGGTGTTGGGTTGGGTGGGGGCAGCCAGAGGAGCCCCGTCAGGGCACTGAGCGCCCTCCCCTGAACAAGTACCAGGTGTCTATGAAAGCAGCAGATGCTCCTCTCTCCTCTCACCACCCGCCTGCATCCCCTACTCTCCAGCAGGCAAATGATCCCAGGATGACTTACTCAGTCCTGCAGAGAACAGGCTCTGGGGGCCTCACGACCAGCAGTTCACACCAGAAGTAACAGCTGGGAGGCCTGAGCAGGCACCAGCCCCTGAGAGGATCCTTGAGGGATGACCAGGGCCCCAGGGAGACAGGGGTTATTGTTGTCCCTGGCACTGGGAGGGAAGAGAATTTGGACATGGCCACAGAGTAAATCTGGGCAGAGACAAGCTTCACACCCAGTTATCCAAACACTCAAGCCTGGCCTCTGTTCCCTGGGCCTTGCTGCATCTAGAGGGGCTGAGGCCTGGGAGGTGGCTTCTTCTCCTTCCGCCTCCCAGGGTAACTGGGGACCACTCTGGCAGAGGGGCCCCTGGCCCAGGAGAATGCCCTGAGCCTTTGGAGGCACCTGTGGGCACTGTGTCATAATCCTACATTAGCATGGTGCATCTGTCACCATTGATGAACCAACATTGATACATCCTTATTAACTAATGTCCATACTCTACTCACATTGCCTTAGGTTTTCCCTACTGTCCTTTTTCTGTTCCAAGATCTCATCCAGAATCCCACATTACATTTAGGCATCACGTCTCCCTAGGCTCCTCTGGGCTATGACAGTTTCTCAGACTTTCCTTGTTTTTGATGATCTTGACAGTTTTGAGGAGTACTGGTCAGGGATATTACAGACTGTCCCTCAGTTGGGGTTTGTGCGATGTTTTTCTCATGGTTAGACTGCGGTTATGGTTTTTTAGGAAGAAGATCACAAAGGTAAAAGGCCCTTCTCATCACATCATATCAAGGATACATACTATCAACAGGACTTATCTCTGTTGATGTTGACCTTGATCACCTGGCTGAGACAGTGTTTGTCAGGTTTCTCCACTATCAACTTACTCTTTTTTCCCCCACTTTCTATACTGTACTCTTTGGAAGGAGTGGAGTTATGTTCCTCCTTGAGGATGGAATATCTATATAAATTATTTGGAATTCTTCTGTATGGGAAATTTGTCTCTTCTCCATTTATTTATTTATTCAATCATTTATTTATATTAGTATGAACTTGTGGATATTTATTTTATAGTCTGGATTATAATCCAATACTACTTTATTTTTTTGCTCAAATTGTTCCTGCTTTGGCTGTTGGGAGTTCTTTCAGTTGGTGAATCAGATTTTTTCAAGAGCATCTAGAAATCTAGATTGTTTTATAAAATCTCTTGATTTTGAACCACTGACTGAGTAAGCCAAAACGAAATTCTTTTGCAGGCCAACCCCAGGCAGCTCTGGGCTCTGCAGTCAGACCTGGTTTGAATTCTGCTCTGCTCCTGGCAGCTGAATGATCTTGCACATGTGAGTTAACCTGCCAGGGTCTCGGTTTTCTCATCTGTGAATTGAGAGGGAAAACTCCCTGAGTGGTTGAAAGGATTCGGTTGAATGACTCAGGTAAAGTTCAGGGCACTAGAATCCTTGCTTATGAAACAGCAGGGGCCATCATTGCCACACACATGAGCCAGGTGTGGTTAAGCACCTCCCTCAGAGGGCAAGAACTGAGTTTGTTTCTGGAAGACCTAGAGGGAGACTTCACGGTTGGGGGTGGCTGACAGGACCCTGTGAGCTCTGGAGTGGATGAGCAAGGGAACTACCCACCCCAAGCCTGGTTTTCAACATGAGATTCAAGCTCTACTACTGTGTAGTAACACCATATTGACAGGTGGGGGAGTACCCAGAGCCAGATGTCCTGTCTTACTCATTCTAAAGTGTTAATGACTACCTCTCCCCAGGAAGGCAAGTCAGACTGGCAAGAGAGAGAAGCTCAGCTGAGTGGAGTGAATGGGGAACCCACTGACCTGCCAAGCTAGGCCTTGGTCCTGGCACTACTGCACACTTACTTCATGACCTTAAATAAGTCCAGTTTCCAACATCCTTGAGGGTAATTTCACAGTCTCTTGAAGGTGGGTCCTGGGGGCTGGGGCAGGGCACCTCCCTGTCTGTCCCTCATGCACAGAACCTTGGGTATACTCTGCCTGGGGGGGCATCTGGTTAGGGGAGGGAGTAATGTTCAGGTCATCAGGCTGCTGGGTGCAGAAGGAAACTATCGTCCCTTAGACAGTGGGGCTTCAGGACGTGGTGGCAGGGGGGAGATGCATTAATTTCTTATTGCTGCTGTAACAAATTACTGCAAAATTAGTGGTGTAGAACAACACAAATTGATCCTACAGTTCTGGAAGTCAGATATCCAAAATGAGTTGACAGGGCTGCAGTCCTTCTGGAGGCTCTAGGGGAGATTCCCTTTCCTTGCCTTTTTAAACTTCTAGAGGCCGCCTGCATTCTTTGGCCTGTTTTTGTGGCCCCACATCACTCTGACCTCTGCTTCCATCATCTCATCTCCTTCTCTGACTCTGGCACTCCTGACTCCCTCTTATAAGAACCTTGTGATGACACTGGACCCATTCAGATAATCCAAGAAAATCTCCCCATCTCATGATCTTTAATTTAATCATACCTGCAAAGCACTTCTTGCCTTGTAAGGTAACCTAGTCATAGATTCCGGGGATTCAGGCGTGTATAAGGGGGACCCCTGGCCCCCACAAACTGAACTTCCGCCATGGCTGAGTTTGGCCAACGCAGGAATCCTCTCACTCAGTTCAAGCAGCATCCCTCGCTGTTCGTGGGAATAGCTATAAT